GAGCCACAGCACCACTTCTGGCTTTTTTTCTTTTTGCTTATGTGGTGCTGAGGAATCGAACCCAGGGCCTCATGCATGCAAGGCAAGCGCTCTACCACTAAGCCACGTTCCCAGCCCACTTTCTCTCATTTTATAGATTGGTTATAATTTGTATCTCTTCAGTATAAATTGTAAAGATGTGACATTTCTAAAATACAAACATAGTGGTTGAATGTCTCTAGCATATAAAATATTGCATCAAGTAATCGGCCTCACTGAGTTGTTTCCAACTTGGGCTAAGTTTTCAGGAAAGGATCCTTCGAAAAAATAGGTGGCGTCACCCTCCCAGCTGTCAATGAAATCTTTCTGGTTGCTGACTGGTAGTTTCTGAGTCCAAGGTAAAGACTCACAAATGTGGCAAGATGGAATTATATCCTCACTACCCCTACCTTCCCACTCAGATTTTAATAATAGCCGATTTGCTATCATTTATCTACCATGCATTTCACCCACATAAAGCAGTTGTCATTGTGATGGGGGGGGGGAGAACGTGCCTGTCTCCTTCACTGAAGCCAGAATCCTTTGATGGACAGTGAATGCCTCAGCCATTGCCTGCTCTGCTGGGGATACAGTGCTGATCGTGAGAGCTGGTCTTGGTCCAGTGGCGAGGTTGAGAGTGTGGGCAGGAGAGGCGACTGTGTCCTCGGGCCTGGCTCCGGCAGAGCTAGATCAGTACTTAGCCATGGGGCCGGCACCAAGCTGCTTCCCAAGAGCTCAGGTCCCACCCCTCAGCTCCTGTGAAGGCCGGGCGGGATGGGAGAATGTCGGGCAGAAAGCCATAGCTTGCCAGGACCACAGACATGGCCATGATGACCCCCAGACCTTGGGCCTCTAGGGGAAGGCAAAAGTGCCACGGGCGGGCTGCTGCGCCCCCTTCTGGAGAAGGAGGGAACTGAAAGTTGTCCTGGGAGGGCCTGACAGCTTGCAGACATGTGGAGATGGTACCTGGCAGCCAGCTTCTCCTGCCCCACACCCTATCTATCCCTGGGACTTCGGAGAGGCAAAGCCTCTATCTGCTGGGTGCCAGGCCAGACCCTGAGCAAGGCTTTTTATAGGGGACACGTCATTCCACAGTTAACATACTGCAGGTGAGCATGGAAGCACATACCTGGAATCCCAGCACTTGGGATTCGGAGGCAGGAGGATGAATTTGAGACCAGACTGGATTGCTTACATATAACCCACCGTGACAGGCACCTTTGGAGCCGCCTAGGCTGACCAGCCCCCCCCCCACCCCCCCGTAGGGCCTCAGGTGTACAGTTGTTTCTGTAGTTGAGCCTAAACCTGAAAGTGAAGCATCCACACCTTAGGCCACACTGAGAGAGGTGGGCCAGGGGGAGAAGGGGAAGACACCAGAGATGCCGCTGTGACCCCACCACAGCCGCTTCAGGCGGGATGGACAGACTACCCGTGGGCCACGTGCCAGGCAGGGCGTAAGCCCATACTCACATCTCATTTAATCAGCATGCTGTTTCGAGGCCACACGTGGTCCCACAGGATGAGCAGGCTGACGCCTGTGCCCAGGCCCTCCTGGGCCGAGTGCCACGGGCTGGGGCAGCCAGCGGGGTCCACCAGCCCCGCCCCCACACATGACTCCATCCAAGCCTGGAAGGCTGGGGAAGACTGGGCTTTGGAGCTCTCATCTAGATGTTTCCTGAGGGCAGGAGACAGGCCTGGCTTCTGATCGTGCAAGGAGGTGGGCAGAGTTGGGACCAGGCCAGCAGGTGGCCCCTCTGCTGGCAGACACGCGCAGGCTGGCGACTGGACAGAACAGGGTCAGGAGACCAGAGAAGCTGGGGCCCAGAAAGCCCAGCTCAGGGCCAAGCCCCGCCCACCGCCTTCCTCTGTTACCTCCTGGCACCACCTCCAGGGAACCCCTCCCTGTTAATCCTCCAGAGGGACGCATGACCCTCACATTGTCCACCCACAGGCGATGAGCTAATGGCCAGCGTGGGCCGAGACGTATCCACCTGCTGCTCCCGACCTGCCCTGAAGCAGGGTTGCTGCATCCTGGCCACTGTGTCCCCACAGCCAGAGAGAGCACAGACACTCATCCAAAGAAACCAGGGGCCCCGGACGCTGCTCTGGGCTCAGCCTGGTCCCTGCCAGCCACCGTGTCCCACCAGAAGCCCAGAGGTCAGTACCCCAGGAAGGAGCAGCGGACGCAGGCTCCGGGCGGGGAGTGCCGTTTACTAGTCAATGGCTGTGTGGGGGAGGGGCCATGGCCCGCCCCCAGGACGTGCGGGTGGAATGAGGTAGTGGAAAGGGCGCCTTGGGTCCTGCCAGGCTCCCTGGGGAGGCTTGTCCGTGGAGGCCATCCTGCATCTGGAAGGCTGAGTCCGTCGGGTCAGTCCGGAAGGACTGGGGCTTGGCAGGGGGCAGCTGGGTCAGGCGGTCCCCACCGTCCATCCGTCCAGGGCTCAGCTGTGGAGGAGGGGCTCGTGCTCTGGCGAGGTGGGGCGGTTCCTGTACACCAGGAACTGGATGGAGATCTGAGGGGCAGGTCAAGGCCACACGAAGCAGTAGCAGACAGGGCTGGGCCTTCCCCACAGCAGAGCCGGGGGGGGGCAGCTCCCCACCCTCTGTCTCCCCCACCCTCCACTGGCGGGGGCCAGCCTTCACCTCCCAGCCTCGCTCTTGCTGTCCTCCACACTAAGGGTACTCAGGCAGCTTCCTTCGCCCTGTCCTGTCTGTCACCAAGGCCACCACCGCTTAAACCTTCCGCTTGCTGCACCTGGCAGGCTCGGCAAACGTTCCAGCAAGGGCCAGGTTTGCTTTCTCACAAATGAGACCGGAATAGGGTCCTGTTTGGGTGCCAAGTGACCATTGATAGAGTACTGGGTCACCCTGGGGCAGTTCACACACCAGGGCTGGAGTCTCAGCCCTGGTCACACAGTGACAGTTAACTCAGATGAAAACACAGAAGCACAGAGAGGTTGATGGTCAAGCCCTACATCACACAGCTAAGAAGCAGTGAAGGTAGGATTTGAACTCAAAGTTCTTTGACTCTAATTCACTCATGGGTGTCCCTCTGGTCCAGCTTTCATTCTTGAGACCTGGACACATGAACTCCCATTCTCAGGACCTATGCAGAAGCTGTTTCTGGAACTCTCCCCTGCCTAACTTCTTTTCCTTCAGGCTACATTTTAAGAGACACTTGTGGAAGCCTTTGTTTACCCTATAAGCCTGGACAGTTGGGAGCTATCTTCTTGCTGTCACAACAGCACCTGGTACCACTGTAATAAAGTAACTTCCCGATCATCCCATGCGTCCTGACTCCCAGCTGGACCGGCAGCCTCCCCCAGGTAAGCCTGAGCATTCCAGCCTTGCTCCCTGATGCATGAGCCAAGGCGCCAGTTGGTGCCTGGCACACAGGAAGTGGATGCTCTTAAATAGATAAGATGGATGGATGGGAGGTTGGATGAGTGGGTGGGCAAAGGAACAGATAGATGGATGAATGAGTGGGTGGGAGGTTGGATGGGTAGGTAGATGGACAAATGGGAAGTTGGCTGGATGAGTGGATAGTGATAGGCAAATGTATGGATGGTGAATGGGTTGGAAGTTGGATGGATGGATGGAGGGAGGGAGGGAGGGAGGGAGAGAGGAGTGGATAAACAGGCAAGTTTTAGATCGACGAATACATGTGTGGATGGATTAAATGATGGGTGATGACGGATGGATGAATGGATGGGCGGATGGATGGATGGGTGGG